TCAAAAAATCAGCCGGGCGTGGTAGCGCATGCCTTGTAATTCCGGCTATGTGGAAGGCTGAGGTGAAGGATCGCAGGAGCCCAGCAGGTCGAGGCTGCGGTGGCCGGGAGCGGCCACTGCACTCCAGTCTGGGTGACAGAGTGAGACTCCAACTCAAAAAAATAAATTAATAAATAATAAAAAAAAATAAAAAACAAGAATTGTAGGCCGGGTGTGGTGGCTCATGCCTGTAATCCCAGCACTTTGGGAGGCTGAGACAGGAGGATCACTTGAGCCCTGGGTCTGAGACACATCAAGACCTTGTCTCTACAAAAAAACAAAAAAATGAGCCAGGCGACACGTGCCTATAGTCCCAGCTACTTAGGAGGCTGAGGAGGGAGGATCTCTTGAGCCCAGGAGATAGGAGCTGTAGTGAGCCATGATTGTGCCACAGCACTTCAGCCTGCAAGTCAGAGGAAAACTCTGACCCCCAAAAAACAAAACAAAAGAGTTGTGTAGGGCAGTGCTTCTCAACCGTATTAATCACATGTCCCTCTGATGGAAACTACAACACTCACTCACTATACTCCTGTATTATCAAGAACATGGGGACATTTTAAGCCTTCCCCCAAAACAAAGCCACAAGAACAGACCTGGTGGAGTCAATGGATCCCCTGTGAGACGCCTGTTTCTGCCGCCCCCGCACCCTTCTTGGACTGTACCACTCGGCAGAGCCAGCCTCACCCAGCTTGGGACTCAGGTCATGGTGCCCAGTCCTCTGACATCACCTGAGGCCCTAACACCAGGTGAGTTCTTACCACCTCAACTCTCTCTGGGGTTTCTCCAGAAACCACCCGACGCACCCCCTACTCCACCCTTCTCAGACTGTTTCAGATCAGGCTGCCCTGCCCCTGCTGTGGGCCCTCCAGGAGGGGGATCTGGATCTGAGGTGTCTAGAAGCTTGGCCCACATGACAGTCAGGCATCTGGGATCCATGGGGCTGCTCCAGACCAGCCCTGCCTAGTCCAGGCGCCCTCAGACATCCTCCATCTGGCCCAGTGTTCCCCAAGCACCGACACTGGGCTTGGCGCTGTTCTCCCAACCCTCCTCCCCTGCCCTGTGCCAGGGAGTCCCGCCCAATCTGTCTGCTGTAGGGAGGCTGGCTGGAGACTGTGAGGCTGCCCGCCCCCCGGACCCTGGCCGGGACAAGTCACCTGCATGGGCCTCCGTCAGACGTTGTCAAACGGAGGCATACTCATAGCTGGGGTATACAGGACAATACCAAAAAGAGCTAAAGTCTTAACATGGGCATTGGGTCACTGCTGGGGGAGCGGGCGCCTTGCCTCCATGGAGGATGCCAGGTGGGGCTCAGGAATCCTATCATTTCCCACCTCCTCCAGAGACCAGGAGAGCCCACATGGCCTCAGAGAGTGGGGGCGGGGTGGGGCAGTGGGCAGGGGCACAGCCTTGAGACCAGGGGCCAGACCCACAGGCGCATCAGGGCTTCCCACCCACAACCTGGCGGGCTCTCCGGCAGCCACCTCCAGGGCCTTCTGGGAAAGGCCATCCCAATGCCACGTTGTTGCTGAAGCCTACAGTCACCATGGCAACCAGCCCAGTCCCACTCTTGCGGCCAGGGCCACACATAGGGCTTCTTAATTACGGCCTGTCTGTCCCGGGCCAGTGATCTGCCAAGCGGTCAGATGCAGCTCACTGACCCTCTCCCTCCAGGTGGCTTTGGAGGAGGGAGACTCAGGGTCTGAAAGCTGGGTGCTGATCTGATTATGGGAGCCAGCTCCCACCTCCCCACGGGCCCAGACACGTGGCACCGGAGGCTCAGGGCAAAGGAGGTCTCTGGCCTGGGGCCCCAAAGTCCGGGACAAAAGACTGCTCTGATGGGGTGTCCAGCACAGTCATCCTGAACCTCCTCCAATGGGCAGACCCAGCTCAAGGCCTGGAATGTGGAGAGTCTCTTGGAGAGGCACCAGGTGGGGTGTCCAGGACGGAAGCCTCCCCCCACTTATCCTGGCACCACCCAATCACGCCTTGACCCTCCAGCGGGAACCGCCCTCACTGCCCACACGCCCGCCTGCCGCCAGCACCTCTTTCTCTGCAGGTTACGCATCTTCTGCACATAGAGCCACAGCTCCAGGCCCACGGGCAGCAGCAGCGGGCGGGGGCGGGGGGCGCCGTACACCACCTTGCACACGGCCTTCTCTGCCAAGCTCAGACCCAGAGGCTGGCCATCTGGGGCAGGAGGCCGCACCGCCGGGCTCCTGGGCCCCCTCCTGCCAGCCAGCCCTCGGCCCGCCATGGCTTGGATCCAGGGGGCGTGCTGGCCTCACGTTCCTGTCCCCCGCCTCCAGGGTGATAGGAGGAAGGCTCCCTCCGCAGGTGGGCTGGGGCCTCCAGGGCCTGACGTGGATCAAGGGCGGCTGGGAGGCCGGATCAGCACGGTCAGCAGGGACTGGACGGGCGGGGGAGTCCTGGGGTAATCCCGTGTGCAGTGCTTCTCCAGGGGCTGGGCCTGGTGGCTGTGCCTTCCCGCCGGATCACCCACCAACTCCTAGGCAAGTTTTATCCCGTTCTGAGCTGTGGCCAGTTCTGCCCCAGGACTGGGGTCATCAGACGCGCCAGGGCCCGCGGCAGGTGCTGGGCCATTGTTTGAGGATGAAGGAGGAATGGCGCCCAGAGTGTGAGTGCCCCTAGCTCTGCTCCCCACCCCCCACAGCGAAACCAAACAGGCAGGCGATGCAGCAAAGGTTGGCACCCCAGCCCAGGCTCTCCAATCTGGGAGGTCTGTCCCTCTGCCCGGCCTAGGGCTGGGCAAAACTTAGATCCTGGGTGGCAGTGGCAACACCTGACCCCCTCCCTGCTTTCCTTGAGGCCCCTGTGCCTGGTCGGGCTCGCTGTGGCCTCCCTGGCACTTCCCAAAGTGCTGGCACAGGGCAGGCATGGCTGACTCGGCACAGAGCCTCCCTCCCACCTGGGCCCCGGCACTCTGTGCTGCCCTGGCCTGAAAGCCTGGGGTGCGCCAGGTGGCCTGAGTCTAACTGGGGCCACTTGTGCATCGGAGAGGCTGCTCCCTGGCTGAGTGGGAGCTTGGGAGGCACAGACTCCTCCCAACCTGGCCTTCTCAGCTCAGCCCAGGCTCTTATAGCTATGCATGGCCCAAGAGGAGGCTGGACAGTGTGACTTTCCCTGGGCAAAAGGAGGAGCTTCCAACATGTTGGGGGGCAGAGCTAATACCAGCTATAGAGAAGAGGCTCAGGCAGGAAGGGCTGCCCA